CCAACAGTGAAACCTTTGGCTGCCAAGGTGCGCTCTGGGTTGCGCAGGTCCTCTTCGGTCATCACGACCGCCCTGTCACCTGTAGAATGTGGTCCGCTGGCCTTAAGGGTCGCAGCAGGCGCCCGCTGGCCGTCTGGGTCAATGACAACGTCGCTGCCACGCATGCCTGCTGCCTCAGATGCGAAATCTGAGATCATCGGCGCCTGGCTTTCAAAAACGACGCCCTCTGGACCTTGCCCCTCCTTCCCGATTAAGCGCAAAATTGAGCGAGCGAGGAACTTCCCAACCAGCATGTCATGCTGCTCTAGATCGACGCGGCCGCTGGCGCGCAGGGGGCCTGCGACGCGGTGACATTTGGACAGGTCTCCGTCGAGCGCAAAACGCTTTGTCCTTGACGGAGTTGCCTTCCAACTTCTTAAGGCCACTGGGAACCAATAGCTTCGCCGCGCCGTCCGACTGCTCATCTGCAGCAAGGTTTGCAAAGGTGCTTGCAACGCGCAAGAAGACGCATGGCCCAAGATCACCAAAATGAGCGTCGACAGATGGCGCAGCGAAATCCTGCCCGAGTTTCTTGTGCGCACCGTGCATCTTGCCAAACCCACCCATGAACTTAACCATCGGGGCACCAGATCCCCCGCCGCAGCGCGCTGCGAGCTCGGCAATCTTGTCAATGTAATCCCCCCGTCGGAAACGCACCCCCCATGCAAATGCTGCACGGCGCAGGCGCGCGCGGCCACAGCGCAGACCGCATGCAGCGCGCATGCCGGGCAAACGCAGTCGGCAACATGTTGCTCGAGTTTCAACGCGCCGTGGCCGCGCCCGCGTGCGCCGCGCGCATTTGCAAGAAATGCGTTCCCAAGCAGCCTGCCCGGCACGGTGGCTGGCTCATATTCACTGCATAAACACAGGCGGCGAAAGTAGACTCAGGCGGCATCAGTTCTCCAAATTCTGCAATGCTCGCGCGCACTTCGAGTTCGGACATCAAACTGGCAACGTTGTTGCCCGCGTCGAGGGCGCGATGTGCCAAATTTGGAAGGCGCGGCCGCGTCGCTTCTGCCTGCCGCGGCAAGACGGTCCAACGCCAGCCCGTCGTGAGGGCGTCGTGGAAACGCGGGCCCTGGGACAGCGTCTCGGCGCTCACCTTCCCGCCCATCGTCGGGTCGGCGAGTTTCGGTTCAGGCGAAGAACAACCCGCCTGCACTGCCTTGAACAACTGCGTGGCGTGGCCCGCCCCTGCCGCGCAGAACCCCCCAGCGCCCGCCATCGGCGCCAGCGTGCCCTTACTGGGCGACATCAACTTATGATTGACTGCAGCTTGAGGCGACTTCATAGGATCCATTGGCGCGCGTTCGAACGCAACCGCCTTCTCGAGCTCTGCAGGGTGAACGCCAATCTTCCTGGGCATGGCGCCAACCCTGCACACGTTGTAGGCGTTCACGCCAAGAACAGAACGGTTCGAGGGTAGATGATGAAGTCGTCTGCCTCGGCGACGATGTGCTTGGCGACCTTCTCAATCAAGAGGCGGCAAGCGCAATCCTTCCAAGCTGTGATCGGGGCAAGCTTGCCTTCGCGATGCATCTCGACGCGCCCGCTGATGAAATCCACCAGCTCTTGCGGGTAGACGCTCTGCATTGTGCGCACTGGAGATGCAATAACTGCAGAAAAGAGAATCGAGCTCGAGCCTGACCCGCCTACACACCGCCACCTGCAAGTCCCAATGCTGAGACAACATTCGTTTTGATATACAGCGTGGTCTCACCTGAAATAATGGCACGCGTTGCACAGACAGCATACATAATGAATGACAGAATGAATTGCGACACATTATGGAGAATGCAGTTGCTGCAAAGGCTAACAACATTTAACCGCGGAGTCGCTCGTCGAGCGCGCAATTGCCACTTGGCGCAGAATCCAGCGACGGATGCGTCTTCACGCAAGTGGAAAAGTCGATTCATAATTGCCCCGTGTTCGACGTTTGAGAATCAGAAACACGCAATGCGGGCCTCATCCGAGCACAAAAATGTGAAGTGGGATTCAAACTTTAGGATTGGGCCAATCCCACTTCAGCCCTCAACAAAATATCGCTGCGTCAAGTTGCAACTCGGCCTAAGTCAAGATAAGTTAAGACACGTGTGGGCCAAGTCCTGCAAATGTTGTGTGGCTTGCTAAGGTAGCTACGTAAGACACCTGAACTTACAAACGCTTAGCAGACTTGCAACTATGTTGCAGCTACCTTACCACTACCTTACAACTAGGTTGCAAGTGCCTTACAACCCAACCCAACTCCCAGGTTCACTACAGCAGTGGCGCAGCTCGCACGGCGCCGCCGCCTCGTTCTGGCACACCTCGCACACGTTTCGTGGTCCCATAGGGAGCTTCACATAAGGTCCCAATGGCGCAGCTCGCACGGCGCCGCCGTCCCATTTTGGCACACCCCTCACACGCTTCGTGGCCCCTTATAGGGAGCTCCACGTAAGGCTTCCGCGGCGCAGCTCGCATGGCGCCGCCGCCCCATTTCGGCACACCCCTCACGCACTTCGAGGCCCCATAGGGAGCTCCACCTAAGGTCTCAGTGGCGCAGCTCGCATGGCGCCGCCGCTATATTTTGGCACACCCCTCACACGCTTCGTGGCCCCATAGGGAGCACCGCCTAAGGTTTCAATGGCGCAGCTCGCATGGCGCCGCCGCCCCATTTTGGCACACCTCTCACGCATTTCGTGGCCCCATAGGGAGCTCCACCTGATGTCCCAGTGTCGCAGCTCGCGTGGCGCCGCCGCCATATTTTGGAACACCCCTCACACGCTTCGTTGCCCCATGGGGAGCTCCACATGAGGTCCCAGTGAGGCCGTCCGCATGCGTTCCACACACCCCGTTTGGCACTGTCACCCACCCAGTATAGCGTTTGGTGGCCCCATTACGAGCTCCACCAGAACCCCCAGTGGGACCGCTCATATGTGGCCCTGAAACCTAGTTTGGCACTTTTACTCATTCAGCACAGCGTTTCGTGGCCCGATTGGGAGCTCCACCGAAGCCCCCAGTGGGACAGTCCGCATGTGTCCTGGAAGCTCAATCTGGTATTTTCACCCACCTAGTGCACCGCTTCGTGGCCCAATTAGGACCCCCACCGAAACCCCCAGTGGAACCGCCCACATGCGTCCCAGAAGCCTAATTTGGCGTTTTCACTCACCCAGTGCAGCGCTTCGTGGCCCCATAGGGAGCTCCACCGAAGCCTCCAGTGGGACCGTCCGCATGCGTCCCGGAAACTCCATTTGGCAAGTTCCCGCGCCCAGTGCAGCGCTTCGTGGCCCCATAGGGAGCTCCACCGAAGCTTCCAGTGGGACCGTCCGCATGCGTCCCGGAAGGTCCATTTGGTATTTTCACCCACCCAGTACAGCGCTTCGTGGCCCCATAGGAAGCTCCACTGACGGCCCCAGTGCTACTGCCCGCATGCGTTCCCCCCCCACCCAGCACAGCGCTTCGTGGCCCCATAGGGAGCTCCACCGACGGCCCCAGTGCTACCGCCCGCATCCGTAACCCCTTACCCAAGGCAGCGCCTCGTGGCCCCACAGGGAGCTTCACCGGAGAAGATCTTCACCGGGTGCCCAAGTACGCGGTCGGGGGAGGGACGTTCAATGGATTATCCCTCCCCCGGCGCCCGCCCGCACCCCCCATGCCCTGGGCGCCCGTCCGAGCGCGGCGGGGGAATAATCGAGCGGCAGGGCCGCTGGATCGAATCCGCGGAGGCGCCAGGGGGCCCTGGGACGCCGCCGGGTGGCCACTGCGCCGGGTCTGCAAGGAGCCCCTGGGAGACGCTGCACGCCCCCGGCGGACCACCTGAAGCTCTTCAGGCCACCCCGGGAACGCCTCCGTCAGCCACTCTGCCAAGCCCCTGCACACGGGGCGTCAGTAAACGAGGTGGTAGCTTCAGGGCTCTCTTCGAGCGAGAACGGGGTGACAGGGCAGTTACCTCGCACCAGTGCGCGATACATCAGGACGACAAAAGCGTCGACACGTCATCACAACTCTGGGCGGGGGGGGTCGCTCGCACGTGCGCGGCACATCAATTTGTTGAAAGCACCATCCACGGTCAACTCACGGTAACCTCCCACTAGTGCGCGGTACATCGGGACGACAACAGCGTCGACACATCATCACAACTCTGGGCGGGGGGGGTCCAAGGGTTCCCAACTTCGCGCTTCGTGCTGCGCGAAGCGCGAAGTGCGAATAATTTCGCGCTCTCGCGCCGCCTCCCAGGGGAGAGGAGGAGGATGAGGAGGAATCGGAGCCGAACCGCGAAGCGCGAACAACTTCGCGCCCTCGAGGGCGCCCTTGGTTTTCCTCGCTCGTGTTCGCGGCAACATTGGCAACGCACCCTTGGCCACGGGCCTGTCTACGAACGCCCCGCTGGCAGGGGGCCCTGGACCGCCCCCCGAAGCTGCGGGGGGTATAGCGGTCCTGACGCGATCCACCAGGAGGAGGAGGAGGAGGAGGACGAGGAGGAAGAGGCTCCTAGAAGCCCAACGGAGGCCCGTCACATCCACAGGGGGCGGGCGGCGGAACGGTCACGAAGCGTCCCCGGTCGGAGGGCGGGCGCAGGGGCGCAGTGGCAGGCAGGCCACTTCGACGACCGCATGTGAAGCGATGCCTGAACGATCACCGGGGATTTGGACTTCGAAGGGTGTCTGCAGCCAAGTGGACCCCCACTCCATTCTCGACTGGACCCGCAAGCGTGGGTTCGTACGTGGACCACTCCCACCAAGTGAGGCCACCCCATTGGGCGGCCGAGTAGATGGGATCGGAGGCTCGCGCCGCATCGGCGATGCATCGCCGATGCATCGGCGATGCATCAGCGACGTCGGCGATGCATCGGCGACGAGGGCGTACAGAGCAAATTGGGCCTCCACATCGAGCCGCATCGCCGATGCGCTGGCGACCAACGTCTGGTTCGACCCCATCCGGGGCGGCATGGCACCGAGGGCAGCCAAGGCTGGGCGTCGCACGGAGCTGCTGAGGTTGTCGGCGATCTGCCCAGGCGCCTCGCACTGGCGCTTGAGGCCGTCGGAGCGCTCCTGCCGGACAGGCGGCAGGCTTGGAGCAGATGCGGGGAGAGCGCCGCTGCGCATCCCGAGCCCAGCCCTGACCTGCAACCTCGTCGGGACGAGCCTCTCGGCTGTCTGCCGCTCTTCCTCACATCTCTCTCTCGCGGGAGATACCCTGAAACGCCTCTCATCCTTCTCTGCGTGCCCGATCCCCGTTGTTCTCCTCGTCGGCCTCCTCCTCATCCTTCTCCTCCTCCTCCTGCTCCTCCTCTTCCTCCTCCTCCTCCTCCTCACCAGCACCAGCACCAGCACCAGCATCAACACCACCATGGCCGCGGCCGCCACAACCATAATCATCACCACCATCAGCATCAACACATGTACAAGCACCATCAGCATCACCACATGATCACCGCCACCACTGCCATCACAATCGTCCCTCCTCCTCCTCCTCCTCCTCCTCCTCCTCCTCCACCTCCTCCTCCTCCTCCTCCTCCTCCCTCTATCACCATCATCGTCACCATCACCATCATCATCAGCATCAGCAACCTCCTCCTCCTCCTCCTCCTCATCATCATCATCAACATCACGAGCATACTCATGATCATCATCATCAGCAGCATCTTCCTCCTCCTCCTCCTCCTCCTCATCGTCATCATCACCAAAATCGTCCCCATCGTCACCATCATCTTCATCATCACCACCACTAGCATCATCAGCATCATCAGCAGCAACAATAACCGCAGCATCATCGTCATCATCATCATCGCCATCATCGGCATCGTCATCGTCATCGTCATCGTCATCGCCATCATCATCACCATCACCACCACCATCATCATCACTATCATCATCATCATCATCATCATCATCATCATCATCATCATCATCATCATCATCACCATCACAATCATCACATCACCACCGTCATCATCGTCATAATCGTCATCATCATGAGAAGCATCATCATGAGAAGCATCAGTATCGTCATCATCTTCGTCATCGTCATCCTCATCGTCCTCATCCTCATCCTCATCAACATCACAATCGTCCTCGCCACCATCATCATCACTATCACCATCGCCATCACCATCACTCTCACCACCACCGCCACCATCACCATGACCACCATCATCGCCACCACCATCATCATCATCATCTCACTACTACCAACATCATCGTCCACCATCACCATGACCATCAACATCATCAATCATCATCATCATCATCATCATCATCATCATCATCATCAACATCAACATCAACATCAACATCATCCTTTATGCTTCCTTCTCCTCCTCCTCCTGCTCCTAATCAACACCATCACCATCCGTCCTCGTTCTAGTCCTCCGCGCCAGGCCCCAACATGGTCCCGAGACGGCCCTTGACAAAGCTCTCGAGGTGGCCCGAGAGGCGACCATGTTATGCCACACGAGGCCCTGGGAGGCCCCGAAGGCGGCACAAAAAGCCGAAGAAGAAACACTAACTGAGAGGCACCCGGGGCGGCGCACGGCCGGTACCTCCGATCGGTCCGAAGACACTCCCATGACAGCCCCAGGGTCTGCCAACCCTTTGGGGCTCTCAAGACTACCTCGGTGGGCTCCGGCAGCATACACAACTGCCTAAACATAATTGTTTGGCGCTCCGCGCCAAATTTTTGGATCTGCGCTGTACCCCCCTTCCTGGCGCGCAGAGCGCGCCAGGGGCGGCGCCGCCAACGCGGATACGAGAAATCCGCGCGCCAGTTCGGATTTCTCGTATCTGCGCCGCCAGCGCCAAAAGTTAATGTTGATGCCGTTTCTCCCTTCTTCGACAAATGGGTCCGCGATGATTTCCAGGGATTCCAGCCTGCACCCCATGACTTCCGCAACGGCTGGGGGAACAAATAATGCTCTGGCCCAACGTTGGCCCCAGGTTTTGCAGTCAATCAGGTCATGCCAAGACAGGTGGGAATGGCTGTGGCTCGCTGGAGGCGTCGTGTATCAATGAAACGCAACTGACAAATCGCGGTGTGAAGAATATGTTCAATTGCTCACTCATGAAACCAAGCCGGATTGATCAAGGGATTCGTGGCGATCGGCTGCATGGCTACACCTGCACAATCTCCCTCAAAAGAGGCAGGAGATCAAGATCCACCCCGCAATCCGGGGGAGAAAACGGCGGAGCGGAGTAAGTTAGAATGTGCTCGTGGGAGGAGGGCCCGAAGAGGGAGAGCGTAGGGAAGGAGGCTGTATCTTTTTGGAAACTCTCACCCTTCCATACCACTCGCAACCTGGAAAGAACCACCAGAAGCCGTGTGTGCGCAATTCACCACCTTCCGTTAAGAAGCGAATGCGGGTCGAAACAGCAGAACGAAATCACGTGCTGATTGGCAACCGTTGAGGATAGACACGCTGAATGTCTGCCATCGAAAACTCGAGCACGGTCTGAGATGCAACAAAAGACTGAAACGGCATGAAGCATTGCACTCGAAGGAACACGTGTGAGGAGACGCCGGAGCAGCCAGCACGGGAAAGGTTGCTAAGCAGCTCTCGCTAAGGCCCTCACTCGAGGTCGAGAGAAGGGAGGGGGACTGGGGGGCTTCATGGTGTTCGCAAGACAAGCTGCAGCCGCTGTGCTGCCAATAGGAACGCTGAATAAGGAACGTAGGACGAGGAGGGGTTTCTTGCCATAGCGAGCCTCGGCCAAGAATAGGTCCCACGACCTGGATAGAAGGAGCGGCCCGAAAGCCACAGCCGCTCCTGCACCAAGAGTGGCTCTTATTCCAGCGCGTTGGCTGCAGGTCGCAGGGGGGGGGGGACAGTCGACCCGTATCAGAAGGATGCACGATACGGATGCAAGAGCATCGGACGCCCATCTCGAAGCTTTTCGAGCGGGGCGCGGCCGGCGAAACTGGCCAAGAAGGACCGCGGAGGCAAGGATGCACGTGTACTCCGGGTTCCACAATAAAGTGGTGGGGGTCACATTTGGGGGAGGTCTGATTTGAGCTGTCTTGAGGGTTCGGGGGGGGTCTGGGCAAAGGGCCGCTCTTTCGTGGATGGTCTGGGGGGGTCTAAAACTTCTCGTCTGAGAGGGTTGTGACCCCCTCCCCTTACGAAATCTGGAGTATCCTTGGGAATGCTGCCCATCCTTACCGTGCGGGTTGACTGCAGGACGCACTGCACAGACAGAACCTGTCGGAGCTCCGCGCGGAGGTCTCGGCTCAGTTTGCCCCAGCTCCGCCGCTGGCCCTGGGGGCTGCGGCGGCGGTGGCGAAGCGGCGGCAGCCGAAGAGGCGGGCCTCGCTGAAGGGCACGGGCCGCAGCTGCACCGTGGTCGAAGCGCTGTCCAGCTGCTCGTCCATCATCGCAAAGGGGTCGAACGCAACCTTTCCGTGGAGGGCTTCCGCGGGCGATGCGGAGGAACACTGGGCATCGCTCGGACGTCCATTCCCTGTGCTTTTTTCGGTTTCGTGCGTGTTTTTTTCGCCAGGATGCTCCTCGATGGTCCTTGCCGAAGAAAAAATGCACACGTCCGAGCGATGCCAGGCCCTGGCGGCGCGGCCAGCGCCGATCCAAGACGTGCGCGCGGAGATCCGACGGATGACGAGCGCCCGGGGCCACACGGGGTCGATGCGGAGCTGGGTCGGTGCCCCCTCCTTGTCCCAATTTACCAGCCTCGAACGTATCCCTATCCCTAAGATTGACACGACAAAAGGCGATGACAATCTTAGGGATTCGCCCTCAAAAAGTAAGGGAATCCCTAAGATTGGCATCGTGATGAGGAGGTGCCCAGCATAGGGATAGGGATATGTTCCAGGCTGGTAACCAATGCCGCCTGCAACCGTCCCTGAATTGGCCATCGATTCGCAAGGCCATCGATCCAGACCAACATATGACTCACTTGCTGCGAGCCCTGGGGTTGCCAGCGGCCTTGCCATGGGAGCGGCCCCTGGGAGCGACAGGATCTCGAGGGTCCCGACCGCTGGGCGCGGGGAGGCTTTCTCAAACTGCCTGGCAACCAGCATTGCGCTCGTAGCTCCTACTGCTGCAGATTGTGATGCCGTGCGCTGAAGCCCTCCACCAAAGAAAAGGACGAGAGACACGGTCTGGGGAGCACATGCTCGATTCATCGCGCGCTTGGACCTCTCGACAGACGCGTCGAACTCGAAGCCGGGGAAGGAGGACGGAGAATGGAGAAAGAGGATGGAGAACGGAGGAGGACAAAGGAGCGGGGGGGCAGGACGGAGGACGGAGGACGGGGGAGGAGGAAGCGTGAGGCACGACCAGTTCGCGCCTCTCGACCTTCCTCCTCCTCCTCCTCATCTGCCAGCAGGACTGTCTGGAAGTGTTCTCTCTTGCCCCGCGTGGCCGCTTGCCCTGTCTTGGCGGGAGCGCAATGGACCGCGCCCCGGTCCCGATGGGTCTGGCCAGGTCGCCTGCGTTGCACAGCGTGATCAAGACACGCAGAGAGGCTTGAGAGAGGGAGACATCCATTTTATGGCGAGTCAGAGGATATATGCATGTATATTGGTAGTGAGAGAGAGAGAGGGAGACAGAGAGAGAGAGAGACAGAGAAACAAACAGACGGAGAGAGAGAGAGAGAGACTGACGGAAGGCCTTGGAAGAAGGCGACCACTAAATACACACGCATGCACATATGATTGCATCTGATGATTGGGTGATGTGGAGTCGATGCGGATGCTCTCCAGATCATGCCTAAACCACCCAATAATACATGTCCCACAAGCGTCGCACTTCCGTCGCATACTTCAACAATATTCTCGAACGACGGGCAATACATTCATGGTCGCATGGTGCGACTAGCGTCTTCGGCGATCTTCCCAACACCATCAGGATTGTAGAACACTGAACGGGTGTGCGCGACCAACCCTGCTACACGCTCTCCCTCCGCTCAGCGCAATCACAACAACAACAACAACAACAGCAACAACAGCAGCAACAACAACAGCACCAGCAATATCAACAGCAACAGCAACAGCAACAGCAACAACAACATCGAAGTCGAAAGAGAGAGGGAATGGGGGAAAGTAGCCGAATAACAAAAAACTGTATGAACATAATCCCACCAACCCTTTGCCAGGTCCTCCCTTTTTCCGATTCGGGAAGGTCTACCCCCCCTAAATCTCGATGAGGGGGGGGGGGGGGGTCCGGAAGGGTTAAAGCTCTCAATATGGCCTCTAGATGGCCACATATAGCCCAGTATGGCCTCCAAAATGGCTTAAGATACCCGAACATGGTTCAAGATACCTCCGACATACCTCCAGGAGGCTCCACGACGCCTCCCACGGCGGTTAGAGGTGCTCTCGGGGCCCTCCAAGGATCCTCCCAAGAGGACTCCTTCCAACACCTAAGAGGGAATCAATGGTGTGTGCCTCCTCGCATTTTCGCTTTCGATGGTGAGGCCTCGAAAGGACCCCGCGATATGGGCCCATGAGGCTCCCAAGAGCGCGCAAGAGCGCCCAAGAAGCTCCCAAGAGCGCCCCAAGAGGCGATTTGTCACCGCCCAGGGGGGGTGCCCAATTTCAGGCTCCAAGATGGCTCCAATAGGTTTTCAAAAAAAGTTCGGTTCGACGGCTTCCCCAGCTCTTTGTTCCACTGCATGCTGCCCCACTTCTCTGATCAAGGAAAGTCGGCTGGGCATCGCTGTTGGATGGGCAAGTGGGGATATTTTTTTTTGGCCGGCGGCCGCGCGACAACAGTCTGGCGGCGAGAGGCAAAGTCCGGGGCGTGCGGCACGATGCGAATCAGCGAACACCGCCGCCACGTTGGCAAGCCGGCTCGCACCTGCACAACAAGTGCGCAGTAGCACATGCACAGAACAAGATGACCTAAATTCTAAGCAAACGCACATAGGCGTCGCAGTGTGACCCGAGGTGGACAAGCGGCAGGCTGGTGGGGATACGTTTTTTTTGGTTAGCGGCTCCTGGGCGACGGCCAGGGAGCGGGAGCGACGTCCGGGGCGGCGGAACGGTGCGAATTTGCGAACACGGCCGCCAGCGTCGGCAAGCCAGCTCGCATAACAACAACAGGCAAGCACCTGCAGTAAGACATGCAGTGAAAGCAAACGCACGCGCAATAAGCAAAGTGCTGTTCACTCGGCAGCGGAGAATGGCCCTGTTGGCGCCAGTCCGCGCGGCCGACCTAACCCGGGCAGGTAGTACCTGGGTACCGCAGCCGTGCCGATGTCGGCAAAGACAGGGGCAGAAGAGGCAAGAGCCTACAGAGTGCTCACTCCGCTATCCACACCGTCGCCCACGGTGGGGCCGACCAGCCAGCGACTCCGAAACCTCTCACGAGTCTGAACCACGATCATCGGACACGCCTGCCCAAGCGTCAGTACTGCTGCCATCGGGCAACGGGTGAGGGTTGCAAAGGTACGCTGCAGCCGCAGCCAGCTGGAAGGTGTAGCCAAGACTGGACATGCCACAACTAGACCACGATGAGAGTCGGTGAACTGCAGGTACAGAGCCGCTCACACACTCCGCGGACCGCTCCACAGCTGACAGGGGGGGCCGGCGTGTCGTCATCGCACCGATGCCAGTAACAGGTCGGGGTCGCAACAATGAGCAAGAGCACGCTGGCACAGGCAGGTGCACTGCAACACGCGGAGGCCGACTGCAGAAAGGACCGGGCCGACGCGTTGAAGGCTGAACCACTCAGCGCGAGGACCGTCCAACCGCCGCGTGCGGACCGGCTGGGACATAGGCAGAAGTAGAATTGGGGGTACAACAGAGCCCTCACTCCACGAACCACGCTGATGCCCATGGTGGGGCCAGTGCGCCAGCCATCGTCTTTGGAACCAGCCAGGAAGCAACGATGGACGAGGACGCGAAGGCCCAAGCGCCAATGCTGCCGCCCAGCGGAAACGGCCGAGGACCGCCAAGAAACGCTGCAGCCGCAGCTAGCCTGCGGGCGCAGGGGTGTAGTCAGGGATGAATCTGACCCCAGATGCCGGGCAAGATGCCCAGAAAGCGAGGGCGGGGAGAGGAGATGGAGGAGGCCAACAGCTACAACCACATGTGATTGACGGAGGAGGAGGAGAGGGGTGCCACTTCCCACGACAGTGGCGGTCTCGCGGGGGGGAGACCCGCCGCTGCGCTGGGCGGCACCGGCGCCTGCCCCCATGGTGGGTGGACAGCGCCGTCCGCATCATTGAGCTGATTAGCCTCCTCTTGGCCTTTCTATCATTCGACACTATCGCTTCGCGGTGCTGGGGGGGGGGTCAGTGGGCTGCGCGCGGATCTCCGTAAACTGGGCGGTGCGCAGTGGGAGGGCTTTTCCAGTCAACTGCCCTCTGCCGACCAAAGTGGCTGTCGAGACAGCAAAGGGAGTGGGGCCTGGGGAGGCGTCTGCGTCCGCCCCCAGCCCCAAGCGCGCAGCCAGCCGTCGTAGAGGGCGGCTGTTGGCCATGGGCCGGAGGGGCCTACGGGCTCACCCCCGCCAGCCGCTGGGGGGGGGCAAGAAGGCCTAGCAAGGTCCACTTATCCAGTGTGGACTGTCTAGCTATGCAGCGCCTGGGTGAGATGTGGGGGCATCCCCGCCCCAGCGGGAGCTGCCCGGGGCATTGCGGCCGAGGCCGGGCGCTGCTCGGTGAAACAGTGCCCAGCGGGGAGAGGGCGGCTGCCGCCTGGGGGGTTCGCTGTCGCTGAGGGCGGGGGCACCCCGACGGGCGGGCCCGCCCCTGCGTGCCCTTGGCCCACTGGCGAGGTCAATCCCACCATCGTGCGCGCTCATCGGTGTATGGATCTTCTCCCCTGACGGAGTAGCGTTTGCCTTTGGCTTTCCAGTCGGTATCTGTCAACGGTGCGCCCTGGTGCTTCCAGGCACCCCATTCCCGCCAACCGTGCCGCGGGTTGGCGGAGCCGGATGCACCAGTCCATTGCTCCTGCGGCGACGCCTCTGTCGCCCTCTTGGTCTCCCTGGTCCATGGGGTGGGGCCGCTGCTGCGGTCGGTCAAGCGCTGAGTGTGGGGCCTGGGCTCGCGTTGCAAGAGTCGGGTATGTCTGTCCTTGACCGTTGGCCAATCGACGCGGCGCTCCAAGTCTCTGTCCATTTTGTGTGCGTCATACGCTGCGTTGCCCCATGCCTGGAGGAATTCGCTGCAGAGCTGCACGGAGTTCAGCTTGGGGTCATTCTTCACAGTCTCGACGGCCCCTTGTCTCACGGCCGCCCTCCTTGCCCATGCGACCCAGACCCCGTTGAACGCACCTCCCAGGGTCTTTTGTAGGCGTGATATCTTCTCCTGTACCGGTTCGTCCTTCGTAACATCAGCTTCGCCTGTACCGGTTCGTCCTTCGTAACATCAGCTTCGCCGACCGGGCGCATATGCATGGGGATGCTCCCCATGGGGTCGCTCGGGTTGCCT